GAAAGCACAAACTGCTCTTATTGACAAACTTAGATTAGTAGGATAGTTATCTATCTTGTGTGTGTGTGTATATATATATATATATATATATATATATATTTATATTTGTGTGTATAGACATCTATGCCAAAAATTAATTTAGACATTTTTAGACAAGACTCAACTTCTGGGCTTCAGCAAGATGTGGAAACTTTTCTTGCAGAAATTTTTGTTCCTGTTTCTCTAAACTTTTCTTGCTTCAGTGTGGGTTTGTTTTATGGTTCTCAGTCTGACAAAATGATCCACGTAAGGCATTGCAAAGAATCATTTACTGCTAAGTTTCAAGAGGACTTGGTCTATTACAAATAACAGTCCTTTATCAGATATATGTCTTGTAAATATTTTCTCCTAGTTTGTGGCTTGTCTTCTCATTCTCATTGGCAATGTCTTTTATAGAGCAGAATTTTTAATTTCACTGAACTTGATTTGTTTATTCTTTCCTTTGTGGATCATGAGCTTTGGTGTTGTGTCTAAAATGTCTGCCATTTACAAAGCCATCTAGATGTTTATAGATTCTTTTTGGAATTTTCTGTATAAACAGTCATTGAATCTCTGAACATAGGCAATTCCATTTTTTCTTTCCCATAAATACTCCTCTCATTCCATTTTAACAATAGCTAACACTTCAGTCTGAGGTTGAAAAAAATATACATATATTTATCAGGGCCTCCTGCGTTCTAGCCAAACATTTTACCATTTAGCTGCAGCCCCAGCCCTATTTTTAAAATTTTCGTTTAACACAGCATTTTGTAGGTTCTCTACTCTTGAACTTGTGATTCTCCTGCCTCAGCCTGTTGAGTAACTGGAATTACAGGCCAGTGCCATAGTTGTATCTATTTAGGTTGCATATATTGTATTGTTGTATTGTACATATTTATAGAGTATAACTTGGTTTGATATGTGCATACTACACCATCAATGACCAAGTTAGGGTAATTAGCATACCTTTCACCTCCAATATCAATTCTTTGTGCTGAAAGCTTTCAAAATACTCCCTTGCAGTACGTATCAGTATTAGCGACAGTCCTCTGACAGTGCAGTAGAGCACCAGAATTGATTTCTCCTATACAACTGCAGTGTGTTGTTTGTTGAGCAAAGTCTTCTCTTGTCCGTTCACTTCTTGCAGTCTCTAATTATCACTGCTCTACTCGCTGCTACTGTGAGTTTAACATTTTTAGCTTCTACATACAAGTGATATCTGAATTATTTCTCTTAATATTTCATCCATAAGTTTATCCATTGTGTTGCAACTGATGGAATATCCTATTTCTATAAGGCTGAGTGGTATTATGTTATGTGCCATTATTAAAACCCACCCATCAGTGATGGATCCTTAGGTTTTTCTACATCTTTGCCATTGTGAATATTGGTACACTGAACAGGGTAGTGAGGAATCTCTTGGGCTCAGATTTTAATTCCCTTCAGAAGTACGATTTCTGGGTCATATAATAATCCTATTTTCAATTTTTGAGGAGTCTCTCTACTGTTTTCCAAAATGCTTATTCTAATTTATAATATTACTAGTGGTATATAAAAGTTTCTTTTCTCTACATCCTTGCCAACACGTTTTATCTTTTGTCCTTTAGGTAACAGTCGGTCTAATAGGTGTGAAGTAATATCTCATTGTGGTTTTCATTTGCATTTATTTGATGATTAAAGATGTTGAGAGTTTTTTCACATCTGTTGGCCATATGCATTTATTATTTTGAGAAATGTCTATTTAAGGTCTTTGCCTAGTTTTTTACATGGATGTTTGTTTTTTGTTATTAAGTAGTAAGGTCTTTGTATATTCTGTATGGCATTAGACCCTTAGCTAATATATTACTTGTAAAACATTTTCTCCTAGTTTTTTTTTCCTCCATTGTGTTGTTTTCTTTACTGTGTAAAACCTTTTCAGAGCACGTAATACCATTTTTTTCTTTTGTTTTGCCTTTGTTTTCATGGTCAGGGCAGGTGACATCATATCCAAGAACTCTCTACCCGGACCAAGGCTATAGGTTTTCCCCTAGGTTTTTTCCTAATTTTCTAGTTAAAGCCCATATGTTTAAGTCTTTAATTCATTTTGTGTTGATTCATATGCAAGGAGTGAGACAAAGGTCCATCTTCCTTCTTCTCCATGTGCATATCCAGTGGTCACAGCAGCGTTGACTGCCTTTGCTCTGTGTGTGCCCTTGGCAACTTCGTCACAAATCAGTGCTTATATACGTGCGGGTTTATTTCTGGGTCCTCTCTTGGAGTCATCATTTGGACCAAGACTATAATTTAATTTAATAAGACTTTGTGTTTTCGAAATTGTGATTCAGAAGGTTTCACAGCAGTGTAGTAAAAGAGCTTGTCACTCAAGCAGAACAGACACTGTGAAGCCCAAATATTCCTTTCCCTCTTGAAAACCTGTTTCTTAAAAAAATCGTGTAAGTCACTTGCAACTCCAAAATTACAAAGGTAAAAATGCTTTTCCTGAGAGTTTCTCTAATTTTGGGCACTCTTGGTTGAGACAGCCCCTCTGAGTCTCTCAGTGATTGAACTAAGTTTGATATCTGAGTAATCATTCATCCTCTCCACCTGCATGGTCTCACACTACAGCAATCATTTTTAATGATTCCACCGTTTATCCTTTATGTTCACTCAAGAATCAGAACCTTTATTTTCAGGAAAGAATAATCCACAATAAAATAAACAATTCCACACTTGGGTAGGGACCGGCTCTGCAATGCATTCAATCTTCTCATTTTTATTCCTACTCTTATAGAGCATCACAAAATTTGAAAATAATACTATCTCAATGACACCTCAGCTCGAAGTCCTGAAACATAAAAGTGAAAGAAACTAGAAGGCTGGAAATATTTATTAGATCAATTAGAAGACGGGGTGCTAAAATCCAACAGGATAAAAATATTTCAATGGGCAAATGGGTTTCCTCAAACATACATTCATATATTCAGTAGGCAGATGGTAAAGTGGAAAGTTAGCACATTAAGAAATAATTATAGTAGGTTATTGGAGACTGGGGAAAAGGAAATAAGAGATTTATTAAATAGTTTGCATTCATTTATGCAGAAAGGTGGCCAATCTTGGATTATATGTGCATATGAGTATTAATGAGAATGAACTAGCATTTAAGAAAGACAGGGAGTTTATAAATGGCCCATGAACTGCAGGCACACATTGGAAGGTTCTCTTATAGTCTAAAGAGGGACACTTTCACCTTCCTCATCTCATAGGCCAATAAGGAGAATCTGACTGCCGTGTTGTTAAGTGACAGCTGTAAAAACAATAGCTTTGTAATAGCTGGTAATTAAAATACATTGTATTTTATGTTATTTTGGCTGGTAAAGGCTATTAGATTTGTATTGTCAAAACACACACATAAACATGTGTGCACACAAACGCTCCCCTCTAGAACGAGCCATTTAAACACCTTTCCTTCCTTTTCCCAAGCCTTCAGTACTGAAGCCATAAATGCCCAATACTGAAACTTCCAATTACTGAAGCCATAAATGCCCATTTTACAAAATAATACCCTTGAGGTCTGCACATTTGTTTCACTTACTACCAGGGAAGGAAAAAGTTCCTAGTTAGAATAATAATTTAGATTATAGTTAGTTTGCAATTTCATTCCTACAGTGTGGGGAGCAGATACGGGTATTTTTGCATACCTCACTGGTGGGCTTTTCTCTTAAATATCCAAGGCTGAGAGCTTGTGCAGTTAGGAGAGACCATTCTCATACACACAGGAAACTCAGCAACTATATCTTCTTTCTCACTGGTTAAAATAGAAGTGTACACGTCTGGATTAATTACAGCAGGTGGATCACATTCAGTCCCTTCTCTTTTCCATCTGTGTAATGCATAGGTCACCTACAGCCGCCTCTATAGTCACTCTCGGATCACCATCTCACACACCCCGATTAGTTTACTTGGCTCATTCATTCTGGCTTTATTGAGCTTTACAAGGTGCTATGCAGACTGCAGCCAGCAAGGTTAGCTCCAGCCCTGCTCTTACAGAGAGGACAAATTGGATATTGATGCACAAATTGATGGCCCATTGGTGGAGAGACATATAAATAGCCAACATAGGCTAGTGAATACATGCTTAGATAGTGTTGATTATAAGAGCTTCCATTCGCCAAATTTTTTCTTTTTAATTTTCCTCACCTCCAAACGACTTGCTTGCTTATTCTAAAGAAGCACAGGTGTTCATAGTTCCTCTCTTTGTCCAATCATCCAGTGAATTTGGTCACTTGTCATTTTCACTCATAAAAATCTTAGCAAGAGGTAAAAAAAAAATTATGACTCTAAATTATCTTATTAATTGTCACTGCTCTCTTTCTTTTTGCTGGGAGTGAGTACCTTATCCATGAATTGAAACTTGTAAAATTCCAGTAGAAATTTTCCTGATTCAGTCTGAGTGCTTTTTCAATGCACTGCATATGAAATTTACCCACCTTAGCACTGTAAGTTGAAGTCTTTGTCATTTGCTATGTGACCCACAGATACTCCTTTGTGCCTAGCTGTAATATATATAAATTGAGAGTTTCCAGTTCTGTTACTTAAATGCCAGGATGACTTATTTTCAAAATGACTTGACACTTACCTCTTTTCTTCCACACACTGGGACCATCTTCCCTCTGTCTCTGGTCTTTCCTGTAACCCAAAAGTCATCCAACATCATTAACATGCTTGCAGATCACCATGTGAGTATTTACAAATTGTTCTAATTCAGACATTTTGGTGTTCTGTACTTTTTCCTAAGATCGTAAAAATGTGAAGGCAATAGTTTGTCCCCTTTGAATTAATGTATCTTTAGAACTTTTTTATATAGTATACAGGAATAGTGCTGACCAAGTGATTTTATTTTGATGGCTTCGTAGATAGATAAAAGAATTCCTCCGTAGTTCAATGTTTGGGCATTTCAGAAATGCAGGCTGCAAGTGTGGGTCATGTGATTTTTTTTTCTCCAGACATGAAGATTGAGCGTCTGAACTGTCCAACCACGTCTGTTCTCCCTCCAGTTTTGCTTGTGTGGAAACAGCTTCACCTCTGAGCTCCTCCTTGGCTAATTCCAGCAAAGTCCCACTGGGAGCGTGGCAGGGAGAGACAAGCGATGCAAACAGACTGGAGAGCTTTAGTGCTGCTGGTGATTGTGCCATTACCCAGAAAATGCAGGTTAATGTGGAGAAAGGGAGGAAACTGTGGAAGGCAACAAAGCAGACCCAACAATACCTATTAGATGGAACGAACATGCAACACACAGAGCAGGAAGCAAGGACAAGGGTGAAAACGCCATAGAAACTCTACCAACCCCTAGTACAGGAAAACACACTAAAGACAGGGATTAAACAAGTAGCAGTGGAGGGAGTCCTGAATTAACTCCTGTGGATGTGGCTCTTAGAGTCCATCCTGGCTCAGAATTAGCTGATGAAGCTCTAAATCCTTGCAGGATGAGTAGCTCACACTGTTGCGGAGAATGTGACATGGGGGCAGAATTCATGAAAATACAGGGGACAGAATACAGTGTTCCTGGTGGGTTTTGTGTCAAGTGTGTGTAACTATTAACCTGAGATATGGAGATAAGTCTGTTATAAAGCTGAATGTTAAGTAAGATCATATAGTAAAAGTATGTGATAATTCAGAGAGGGGAGAATCCAGATTCAAGTGTCTATATGGCATATGTGTTGCATCAGGAATGTTGCATAAAGATAAAAGACTTAAGGTCAACCTTGTAAAACTGAAAAGACTTTTTGAAGCCAGTATGAGCATAGGATAAAAATAGGAAAAGAAAATGGACAAGGACAAGGAAATGAAAGGGTGCTTGGAGAATATCAACTGTCTAGTTTGACCAAAAAATGGGGTACAATATAGGGTTGACTGTACTGCCCTCACCATCTTGCTTTGACTGATTTTCCTCTGTTCTGCTTTGCTTGATAGTACCAAGTTCGAAAGTATAGGCAACAACTGCAAAGACAATAAGAGTCATTATGACGCCCATTCCAGTTGACTATTATCTTCTTTTAAAGTCCTGTAATGTCTCCAATGTTTTGGTTTTATTCCTTACTGTTTTGTTCAATTTTATTATAACTGATGATATAAGCAATTCTTTTTAAGATCGCAAGAGGCAGTATGGTAACCATTGTTGATCACCTAGTATTTTGTTTTTACATTATCTATTATGTCCATCCTTTTGATTTGACTGACTCTGTTCTGTTATGTCACATTTGGTTTTACTCTCTTCAAAAAAAAGTAATAAGAACTGTGGGAGTAATAAAACCCAAAATGTGTAATTGTCATTGTACAAAAGAAAGGAAAAGAAAGTGCTCTAAAGAATATAACTGCATATATATTTAAGTGTATAAGATAAATAACCTTATTACTGAGTTTTGTTGGATCATTGAACAAAACTGTTTCCAGTCTCACTGTTTGAATGTCCACTTTATATGCTTTAATTCTGTAACTTGAACAACTATTTCTATGATAACAATATGTAATCTATTAACTAGTGATTTCCTATTGTTTATTTTTTCTGAAATTCTGTATAACTTGTACCCTTTTTCTGTTTTTCTTTCTTTTTCTCCTTAAAAAAAATATGGGGTCGAAAGAAATGAGGCTGTAACGGTAGGTTAAAGGCGATCCATGAAGACCCTAGATGTCAGTGACGTTGTTTTCCCGTTTGTCCTCACTTTCTCAAAGGGATTCCATGGTTATCTCCATCTGGGGTCTCAGGCCAGAGCCCATCTGGTGTGAATATGTGTAAGGCTTCCTCATCCATTTGGATTTGATGTGCACTGTGTTCACCACGGTCAGAATCCGGAAGGCCACGCCCACAGGGCTGCAGCATTTCCAGCTCTCCATCTCTGTGTCTCCTCTGTCTGCACGTGGTCCAGAGACGCTGCTTGCCCCCTACCGCCTGGCCAGCTCCTGGGTCTCATCATCACTCCTGGCTTCCTCCAGCTTCTCCTTGCTTCCTTCTCCTGATTCTGCCCAGAAATGAATCTTAACCCACCCAAGCTAAGTCTTAGGGTCCTGAAATGTTTTTAACAGGGTTCTTACTCCTCCCTGTCATTGAGGTCTTAACATTTGTGGACCATGCACTCTCCACATCAGTATAACTTTTTGGCTGGATTTGTGCCTGACTTTTGCTTATTTTTGTTTCTCATTCACAGATTCTTCTCCCATTAAGAAACCATCTCTCCAGTTATTCTGATGGCTTGTATTTCTAGATAGTGGAGATAAGCACACTGGGGTCCAAAAAAGATTTCTCCACTGTACATAACTGCATAATGTTGGCCCACTTGTTTGAAACACAGTTCCAGAAGGATCATATGATCTTTCCTATGTGTTCCTATTCCCTTCCATTCCTTACACACCTTTCCCAGATGGAGTCCACAGACCTATGACGTTTTGGTAATATGCCAACTCCCAGGCCAAGGACTGAGGGATGTGGAAGGGTCGGAACCTTGATTACAGTTTAAAGAAAGCTGACCTTCAGTGAGGAATCTAGGATATGGCTGAGGGTCTGCCTGAAGAGCTCTGTGACTTGGCACAGCTGCCTGGGCCTCCTGACTTTCATCTGTGAGGGTCAGTGATGGAGCAGGCGGGCATTTAGTGGTGGAGAATCCACGCAACTGGCAAATTGCCTGCAAAAACGATTGCACTCTTGCTATTGAGCATTTCCCCCTCAGTATGCATTAAAATCTCCTCCACTGGAGTTTTTCCAACTGGTAGTAAGAGATCAGTAATAAAAGATCATTTTTTTTTAAAAAAAAATAGGCAAAAAAAAAGAAGCAGAAAATTGTAGGGCTTCTTTAAATTCTGTCACCATTGAGTTCTTCAGCTCACACTAGGAAAAAGTAAGGGGAGGAACGTGGAGGGTATGAAAATTAAAAAGGATAAAAATTTATGAGTTTGGTTTCTAGGCTACTCCCTTTCATACACATTCACACACACACACACACATCCAAAAGATCAATACTGATAGGTGAGAAAGTCACCTAATGGACACAGAACCAAAAGAAACGAGTGGATTCTGACCTCAGTAACTCCAAATCTTAGTCCTTTAGTATTTAATATTTTTCAGAGTTTGTGCTGTTAAATCAAAAGGTTATCTATAATACATCTGGTGCTATTAATGGGAAAGATCAGGGATATTCAAAAGACATTTATACATTATTAATATAGATAATAAAGGATCATTTATGAGGCTTCAGATGAGATTTTTATCATCAAAAGCTTAAAAAGAGAAATTTATTTTTGCTTCAGGACAGACTCGAGAGGTGTCTATAATGGGAAATGTGAGCATCAACACTAAACTGACAGATTCACTCTGTTTCTGAAGATGGCTACTTTATAGCAACAGATTAAAAAGAAAATAAAATTTTGTGCTTTAAATTTCTATTGACAGCATCTTCATGATTTATTCTTGGTTTGTCCTTTATCGAGATGTCTTATTGATGTTCTTTGCTTCTGTCTTTTCCATTTGAGATGTTTGATGGCTTAGGCAAATTGAACAGAGAGGAATTCAGCCAACTACAAAATATTTGGGACTCTTGAAAAATAAATGAGTTTGCCTCCAGAATCTTTACATCCTTGCAAGAATCCTAAATCTAACTTTTATGGAACACAAGCAGTAATAAGAAAGGAAAGGTTAAAAATATACTATTTTGGAGGAAGGCCATAGTAGCTCAGGAGACTTAGAAGGACTCTCAGCCCCTGAACGTGGTATTATTAATCACTTTAGCTTATGCCATTGGATCTAATCAAAACAGACTTAAAATGGTTTTTTTTTCTGAGGAAGTCAAAGAGATTTTCAAAATTCCTTTGCAATTTACTTTTCAAATTACTCTCTGTAAATTAACCGTGATTAATTCTCCAGCCAATATAATGGATGGAAACTTATTGGATGTTGATTTGGAATCCACATAAGTGAGAAACAGGAAACTAAAGATGTTTCCCACACATGGTGTCGGCGACAGGCCAGGTCTTCAGAAATGTTTGCTGAACGATAAACATCTTCTGTTACATCTGGATCCCACAGGTGAAATTACCTTGCATTGGAGGGTAGTGGACATATGCTAATGTTTTTATTCTTCCCTGACATGCAATATTTAAAAAAGTATCTCTAGGCTTTCAGATGAATTTTCTCCATTAAAAAAAAGAGAGACGATCTGAGATCAAATGAGAATTATCCTGGGACCAATATTCATTAATAATTTCAGTGCTAGAGAGAAAGTTAAACCTAATACAATCACACTGTTTCATGCCTGCTTCAGGAAGGTAAAAAGACACTGGAGGTCATCAACTCTAATAGCCCACTCAGGGTACACTCAGATGGAACAAAACTCATGGCATAGTGCTAATCCTATCTTAGAGCACTCGTGCATCAGAAAGAAACATAAATCCAGCTGTCAAAGCTGAGGAGAAATGGGAATCACTCCAATGTGCAGTTAGAATGTGGACCAAAGCAGGGGGGCGTTGGGTGTAAGATTGCCCGCCTACACCCCACCATCCTTCCAATGTTCTCGTATGTCACAGATAGCCTGAAAAGGTAAGAGCACATTTCTCAGGCATCCTTGCACTTGTGTTTCTTCCAATTGCAATTTAGGTTTTGACTATCAGGTGTACTCAGACAAAACTTGGAAGATGCAACACTGCTCATGTGTTATTCACTCCTGGCAAACACAGTCATGGTGCCAGTGTGGTTTCTCTGCAGTCACCAGAGGTCTCACCTTCACTCACCATGCTGATTCAGGGCCAGGGAGCTGGGGTTCTTTGGAGAGTGCAAGTTAGAGCAGGCAAAGTGAGGGAGAGCAATGGGGGAAGCAGAAATGGAGTTTTCCTTCCTGTGCTGGTAATGGTGAGGTTTGGAATTAGCTACTTAACTCTAGGGGTGAAGGGAACCCACTGCTTTGTTGTCTAATAATTATTAATCTCCTTGTATGGTCCTGTTTATTTTGGTTAATGTATCAGTCTACTCTTTTATGTGATTCCTCTTTACACAGTGGATATGAACTATCCTCTAAGTCACAGGTAGAGGAAACCTCAAGGGTGTCTTGAAAAGATGTTATTTTTGATAGTTTTACCATATACAAAAAGGTCAAGAGTCATACCAGAAATTTCTACTATGCAGAGTGCTAATGAGGGGTGACATATAATATATGGCATATATAGGATAATCTACCTTATTAAAATATAAAACAATTTTTTCTTGGGCAAAAGTGTAGCTTATCTTTCCTTTTCATAATAGCAGCAATACATTCCTGCTAAATAAGTGGATGTTAATTTTTTTAAAATGTAGTCTTAGAAACAGTATATAGGTAGTTTGTAAGTTTTTTTATTAATGGTATTTTCAGTGTGGAAATTCACTGATAGTATTGAATAGTAAGGCTCCTAAAGTCATAAGCCAAAGAAATATGAATATGAATATATCCTATCTTCAGAGGCTATATGAATATAGCCTCTTCCCATTGGGACATTTTCCTCCTACTTCCCAACATCTAGCTTCTATTTTGGTCCATATTTACCCTTTTAGTTACTCACATTAGAGAAGCAATGCAGTACTTAAACATATGTGGCTGATTATTTACCTTGAAAGAATTGTTTCAAGGTGCATCCATTATATGAGAGGCCAATATATAAATAAAGTGCAAAACAAAAGACAGACAATAGAAAAAAGAGAGAGAGAAAGAAATGTTCTTGTAATTCAGCACGGATGGTGTGCCTAAAAGTGTACTTTGATTCAGTATAATTGTCTGATGTGTATTTTGGGTTTTATTGCCTGTTAGTCTGACTGTTAATCTGTATTTATAATAATTTATTTGATAAGGACTTATAAAATAATTACATGAATCTGATGTTGGCAAACAAAGATTTTTTAAAAGGAGCAGGTAGGAGTAGTAAAGGAATTAAAATGGGTTGTGTACCTTTACCAATGGCCCACAATGAATGTAATCTTTGTGTACTACAATTATGTACTAATAAAATTTTAAAAATTAAACAAAGATTTATTTTTGCTACATGATCTTTCTGAAGGCTTAGCTTCTTTTAAAATCTAATCTTTGGGGCTTGACTTTCCTGCTGCTGCTGCTGCTGCATCTGAATCAGCACAGCAGGGATAGAGACACGAAAGCTCTGAGAGCGGGAATCGGCAAGCCGAATTGAGAGCAGAGTTGGTGGGGAGCCCTGCATCAACCTGTGGTGAGTGAGAGGAATGGGGACCCTTCCATAGACTAGGAGGCTCCAACAGAGGACATTCTGGGACTGGGCAGACTAGCTAGAACAGGACACTGCAATGACTTCAGTCACATATTCCCCTCTCAAGTGGACTGGTGGGGAGCACTTGACTTGGGTGAAGCCACGGAGTAAGATCCAGTAGGCTAGCCCAAACCAGGTCCCAGCGCCTGGCGGTGCACACTAGCAGTGAAGCCTTCAGTAGGTTGACCTGGAGGGGCAGGCCCAGCAGAGGCTGCCCAGGTCTGTGTCTCCCTTGTATACTGCAGTGGGCGGGAACACCTAGCTGGCATGATTCAAACAAACTGTAACCGACAAAGAAAAAAACTGGGCCTCTTCTATACGCTTGTATGGAAGGAATAAAAAGTATGGGAAGAGGGAACAACAAGAAAGGGCCCTCAGTCCCCAATCCTGAGAACACTGATCCAGGAAAGGTAAATACAAAGGAGAATGAGGACAGAAAACATGCAATATCAGGCACGGCACCAATAGACATAAAGCGATATCTCTGGGACCTCATAGACGAGTTCAAAAATTAAGTATTTAACCAAGTAAAGCAAGATATAAGTAGAATAGTTAAAGAAATGCTAAGCGCCTCCTAAGAAAAAACATGATGGAATGGAAGAACAGAAAAAAGGGGAGAATTGTTTGATGGAGAAAATAGAGAAAACGTAGAATACATGAAGCAGGTTCAAAGAGATTACCAGGAAACTAAAAACTCTATTGAAAGCTGGCATAACAGCTTAAAGAAACCAAGGATAGATTATCTGAACTAGAGGACAGATTTGTAATGTGGGAGCATGAAATGAAATATTTCTTAAAAATAACAAAGAAAGAAGCAGTAACAATACAAAGGCTAGAAAATGACAAAAGGATCTATAACTTAAGAATTAAGAATGTGAAGGAAGAGGCAGAAATACAAACAAATGAACTACAAAGGCTATTCACAGAAATAATCCAGGAGAATTTCCTAATTTAGCAAAAGGTAAAGATACTCAGATCTATGAGGCATACAGAACCTCAGCTACCTACAACCCAAACAGAGCTACACCCAGGCATATAATAATCAAAGTTCCAGAAATCCAATATAAGAACAGAATACTAACAGCTGTCAGAAACAAGAAACAGATCACTTACAAGGGAACACCCATCAGAATTACAGCAGATTTCTCGGCACAAACCATCAAATCACAAAGAGTGTGGGGCAAAATAATTCAAGCTTTGAAAGACAATAACCTCCAGGCAAGATTGATACATCCTGCACAATGGTCCCTAGAAATTAATGGAGAAACAAGGTGCTTCCAGGAAAAAGAGGAACTCGGGGAATTTGCAACCACCAATTCAACTCTACAGAGAATACTGTAGGACATTCTAAAAGAGAAAAATACCAAGATTCCATAAACAGTGGCAGAGAGGCCACAATGAATGGAGCAGGAAGTGAAATGAAGAAGACAAACTGACAGCAAACGACAGAAAAAGAGCTCAACAGAAACGAGGCAGAGAAGGTTGGATGGTAGGAACAGGTATTTTGGAGAAAACAAGACATCATAATAGCTAGTGCTGATTTAATATCATCTTGTTTTGAAGTCCCATCAAACTTTTGTTCTTCTGTCTCCATCAGTCTTAACATGTTGTATATTATTGGATTTTATTATATGTGATAATATAAACAAAAACTTTTATAGAAAAGGAGATACTACAGAAACCATTGTTCATTTTCTATTAGTTGGTTCTAAATATCCTGTAATACTGTCATTCTCTTGAATGATTTTACATTGTCTTGATATGTTTGATGCTACAGTATATGAAGTTATACTCAAAGATTTCAAGGAAAGAGACACTATGGTAACTACTTTTATGTCAGGGTATCTTGTGGTAAAACACTATTTTGCTTAAATGATTATGTTCTGACCTGTGCTGATTTGTTGTTCTGTCCTCTTTTATCTCAATCTCCTTTTTTATTATTTATTTTATATTTTTATCTTTTTAATTAAGTGAAAAAAATAAAAATAGCAGGATATATTATAGTAACCCACTTTGATTTCCTATTAACTTGATTTGAAACCCTGTATTGCTCTCATCATCTTGTTTTGACTGATTTTATTCTATTCTGTTTTGCTTGCTAGTACCAAGTTTGAGAGAATAGGCAACAACTGTGAAGACAATAAGATTCACTATGACGCCCATTCTGGTTTGACTATTATCTTCTTTTGAAGTCCTGTAATGTCTCCAGTGTTTTGGTTTTATTGGTTTTTGTTCTTTACTTTGTTCAATTTTATTATAACTGATGATATAGGCAATTCTTTTTACAATAGCAAGAGGCAGTATGGTAACCATTGTTGATCACCTTGTATTCTGTTTTCACATTATGTACTATGTCCATCCTTTTGATTTGACTGACTCTGTTTTATTATGTCACATTTGGTTTTATTCTCCTCAAAAAAAAGGTAATAAGAACTGTGGGAGTAATAAAACCCAAAATGTATAATTGTCATTTTAAAAAAGAGAGGAAAAGTGCTCTAAAGGATATAACTGCATGTATATTTAAGTGTAAAAGATAGATAACCATATTACTGAGTTTTTGTTGGATCACTGAACAAAACTGTTTGCAGTCTCACTGTTTGAATGTCCACTTTATATGCTTTAACTTTGTAACTTGAACAACTATTTCTAAGATGACAATATGTAATCTATTAACTAGTGATTTCCTATTGTTTATTTGAAATTCTGTATAACTTGTACCCTTTTTCTGTTTTTTTCTTTTTCTCCTTAAATAATATTTTAAAAAATCTAATCTTTTTATTTTTATTTTTTTGGTACTGAGGATTGAACTCAGGACCTTGCGCTTACCAGGCAGGCACTTATACCACTGAGCTAAACCCCCAGCCTAAAATCTAATCTTTGAAATAACAATATTATCCCCAGATATTTATTCAGGAGTTTATACAGAGACCTCGTCATCTAGTTCTTCTGATAGAAAATGTCTGCTTGTTGGGCTGTTTTCTACATTTAGTTTTCATCTTCAACACCTTTGGTGAGGGGAAAATATGGAGAAAGAGGCCTTTTGCACACTGTAGGTGAGAATGCAGTCACTGTGGAAACAGTGTGGAAGCTCTTCCAAAACTAAAAAACAGAAATTCTATCTGACTGAGAAATACTACCGCTAGAGAGACCGAAACCAGTGTGCCAAAGGCCACCTCCACGCCAATATTCACTCTCATACTATACACAACAGCTAAGAAACAGAAAAAAGTACCCATCCACTGATAAATGGATAAAGAAAATGTCATCCATATACACAATGGAGAACTACCCAGCCATTAAAAAAAATGACATTTTGTGATTTGTGATGACGTGAGTGGAAACAGCGATCACTGGATTATGTGAGCTAAGTTATACACAGAGACAAGTTATACATTATCTCCCTCACATTGCAGAATATAAAAAAGTTGGTCCCATAGAGGTCAAGAGCAGAGCAGTGGTTGCTGGAGCCTTGGGGTAGTAACAGGACAGGGTGGGGGAAGGCTGGTCAATGGGTGCTAGGCTACAGGTCGGAGCGATGAGTTCTGGTGTGTAAGAGTCTGGTATGGCATAGTGTAGAGGGAGCATAGGCAGTGATAGTGTATGTACAATTCAGAACCATTCTGAAAGTATTCAATAGAAGAAATGATAGGTATGTGAGGAGACAGAAAGGTTTAACTTAGTGTAACTATTAATATATTTGCTCAAAACACCATGTTACATTGCATGTGATCATGCTATATACTTCTAAGATTTATAAATGACAGTGAAATTCCAGAAAAGTATTTCTGCTGCAAGGAAATTTCTGAACAAGTTTGAAAAATACATTCAATGACTGTTCTTACCTGGAAACCCGAAGTCCATTTTGGACGAATGAGGTTGACGATACTCCATTGGAGCTTGGATTTGGGGGAGCTAGGTCTCTCTTCCATGAGAGGAAGTCCATTGTGACACCACATACTGTTTCTTTACAGGTGGAGGGTGGCGTGGCAAAAGCACTGGATATTGTACTGTGGGAAGTGACAGGAGCTTTTATAGCCAGATGACTTCTTTGATGAAGTGTGTTGAAATGACTCAGAAGATTGTGTCTCCCTACCATCAATCCTATAAGAGTTGCTCGTAAGCCTAGGCCTGGAATCTCCTGCCATTTTTCCTTGGAAAGCTGCACCACAGGCCACTGGAGTTGTATGTGAAACACTAATGCTATAAAATGTAAAATGGAAGGTCACAATAATAAAAAGGTATTAAAAATGCAAAACCTCTACAACACAATTCACTTTTGGAGTTGTTATGTCGTGTGGTGCTTACCAAGAAAGCTAAATTGCAGGAAAGGGGAGAAAAAGCAGGTTATTGTTGGCTTGTACAAACTTTTTACTGATAAAATTTCCACTGATTTCTAATGACAGCCCATGGTTTCCTATTCCTGTATATACTTAAAAGGAGTTTGGGAGGAAGGTGATTTGAAAATGAAACGCCAATGTTATAAACTTGTTATAGTTTTGTTCAGGCATTATAGCACTCATCAGTTATCAGTGACTGACACTCTCCTCTCATCTTGTGTCAACATCTAAGAAGACCCTGAATCAAATAAATCAGGTCCTAGGGCGTTCAGTTATTAGAGCTCGAAAGATCCTTAAAAAACCACCAACTTGGGCTGTTAGGTCATTGTCTGTTTACTATGTGTGATATTCTTCCAAAGTTCAAATATATTGCTTATTCTGATCAGTGATGATCTAACAAAATGCCTAGAAAATACTTCCCAGAAGGCTAGAATTCCTTCAAATCTTGTAGAACATGGGCCAGGGGAGATTTTAATTCTGAAATTAACTTGGATCACTGCAGCATATAATAGAGCCCCTTGTATAGGCCAAGAGTCAAGGAAGCCCTCTCTAAAAATTAGACGTGAGATATAAAATCTGAAAATACAGCATTAGGAAGAAAGTGAAAAAAGAGCCAAGTTTAGAGAAAGATTGCATTTTTCTCTATTTATTATTGTGATAACATACCTTTTTACATTACTTTTGGTTACATATCCA